AATTAAATAGCTATTTTGTATTTTGTGATGTGGGGGGGAGGGGGGCAAAGTATAACAAAAATTTTATTAGTATTAGAATTATATCTCTGTTTTTCTGTTAACATTTCAAATGATGTCTATTTAGTTTTGATTTGGTGGTGTTAATTTACTTTTCCTATCATTTTATGAATAAATGATAATTTAACAAATAAAATTATTGTTACCTCATTTATCAAACTTTACAGGTTAAACAGAGCAAAAGGGGTTGGGGGCTGCATGGGAAAGATTGCTAAATTGAGGGAAAATAAAACACAAGTTTTTGTTGGTGGTTATACACAAGTTTTTATGAAACCACACAAGTTTCAGAAATTTCAACACAAGTTTCAGAAATTTCAACACAACACAAGTTTCAGAAATTTCAACACAAGTTTCAACACAAGTATTGTGTAGATTTTCACACAAGTTTGTGTTGTTTGGTAAATTTTAACACAAGTCTTGTGTTGTTTCAACATTTAACACAAGTTTGTGTTGTTTCAACACAAGTTTTTTTCATCTATATTTTGCCGCTGAAATTTCATACATAAACGGACTTTTATTTTTGAGACCTTGTTCTAATCGGCATAGTCTCTTTAAACTTGTTAGTTGTGTTCACAACATGCTTTTACGTTTCATTCGTCTAATTTATTATCTACAAAACCATTGATTACCCAATTAGCAACCTTAATCTCCTGACCACAAGGTGCTTATCAATTGGTGAGATTAACAGAAGTAATTTATCTTGACAAATCTAGTCCGAATTAAAAAAAAAACCAACCTACTAATACTGGATCACCCTAAATTTAGTTTTCCTCAATTTTTTGGTATAGTTGGTAAAAAATAAAGTTATTTTCTTAGTGATTGACATGTGTTTTATCACCCTAAATAACAAAACATGTCATATCATATCTTTAAAATGTGCATTTAATCGTATTCAACGCTCTTAAAATAATTTGTTACATTCTTTGATTCAGTTTCATATGTGCATACAATATTTTCAATAAAGATATGTAAGAAACGAAAGACTGTCGTGAGAAACGAACTAAAAATATTATTTTAGTTCATTTAATGCTTGGCCCATCACGTTTTTATATAATAAAGGTTATTCTTCATATACCTTACCAGTGTTGGTATTTGCGCGGTTTTGTTACGATTTCAATTATCACATAATTATCCATGAAGCGAATCCAGGAAAACATATTTAGGGACCTTTTTAAATTCATTTTTCTGAGCATTAAAAAAAACCCCAGGCAATTGTTGCAATATTTCCGACAAAGAGAAGCAATAAACGAAATATACTTGAAGCTGGGTAAAGCAAATACTTTTATTATGTTTTTATATATTCTAATTATGCCCAATGTACCGTATGACAGTTTATATAACTGACACTCAAGTTGTACAAAAAGTGCACATCTATTGTTTCCAAACAATGACCAGCTGGGCGAAGCTATGCGAAAAACATTCTTAAGAATAATAGTTACTTTTTAATTTTTTTTTCCAATTGCTTCGCGATCGGGACATGCCTTGAGTCTTATTTGTATTCGTGGGAACGTTTAGTATTATGAGAAGACTTAAAGCGAAAAGCTAACCAAAAAAGGGGGGTTGGATGGCTGAATGGTTAGCGTGTGCGCACTGTATCATAAAGTCTGTCATTGAGTCAACTGGTGTGATTTCGATTCCCCGGTTGTACGTGACAAGGAGTAGGATCGCCTGTCCAACCTCGTGGGTTTTCTCCGGTTTCCTCCCACTGCTAAAGACCCCAACGCGCAAGCGAATTATGGAAATAAAATTGAACCATATGTTAGTCCCGAAATGACCTAGTTTGTGTCGAGTGGACGTTAAACCCCATTTCTCTCTCTCTCTCTCTCTCTCTCTCTTATACAAAATTTCGGCTATTAAACATACATTATGCAAGAGCTAAATCTGATTATTGCAGGTCTTTCTTTAGGCCTGAAATGTTATCTAAATTATTAATTAGACATTAATTAACTTATCCAGATCATAATCAACTCTCGATGTCGTCGCTAGCCTGTGATATTTACTGGATTAGGATCCGATTTTCTGCTCAACATTTATTCATGATTAAATCATGAAATGGATAATGGAAACTGTTTTTATCGAACCGACTTTAGTAATGATGATCGAGGCTAGGCCGAAAATTCAATCGCTAAATTCTCGGTTCAGCGTGATCAATTTGACTGAAATTTTCAGCAGTTCCCCTAATGTATCTTTAATAATATCCGAGAGACACCCCCACTCCAAAAAAGAAAAAGAAATGCCAGTAAGACACTTCTCAATATATACTGTTCTCGTGATTTAGTCATGGGCGTACGAGGGAGAGAGAGAAAAAAAAATGGGGTTTAACGTCCACTCGACACAAACTAGGTCATTTCGGGACTAACACATGGTTCTATTTTATTTCAATAATTCGCTTGCGCGTAGGGGTCTTTAGCAGTGTGAGTAAATCGGAGGACCCGGAGAAAACCCACGAGGTTGAACAGGCGACCCTATTCCTTGTCACGTACAACCGGGGAATCGAAACCACGCCAGTTGACTCAATGACAGACCCTATGACACAGCGCGCATGTGGCAACCATTCGGCCATCCCCCCTCCCCAATCGATGAATGTTAAGAGGGCAGAACCTGAAATCCCGAAAACGTTTCGGGTTACCGACAGCGGTGCCGATCGTCCGCGAGAGGCGAAGGTGCAGAGCTTACGGTGTACGACCAAAGTCGAGAGGGAACCTAGCATTAAGATGTTTGTATTAAGATGTTTATATCTTAACCCCTCTCTAGTGTGCACGAATAAATTGCATAGTCAGACCTTTTGTGTTCCTTAACGCCGTCACATCTGTACAAATAAAATAGATATTTGAGTAATAGGTGTGGCAATAATAATATAAAGAAGACGGTGTGTGAAATTTTATATGTATGTATAACATCAACGATAAATATACTATTCAAAAAAAGTAGGGGATATTTGATTTTTAAGTGTTATTAAAGTCACCTAATGAAACTGACGAAGAAACAAATGACAAAATGAAATGAAGTTCACATTCATCGATTTATTCCAAATGATCGTTAGACTAAGTAAGGCACAGACTGACCATTATAAGGGTAAAATGATACCCGGGGTCAAACAGCAAAGTTACCACAGCATCACAACCAAGTCAGTAACGGGTAAATCCTCCTCTGTTTGCCAAACAAGCATTGATCCGACGTGGCATACTCCTAATGAGACGTCTAAGGTCATTTTGGTCCAGATTGTCCCATTCCTGTTGCAACGCAGCAGCAAGTTCTTGGACATTGACAGGACGTTGTTGACGTTGACGTAACCTCTGTGCAAGCATGTCCCAGACATGCTCGATGGGGGAGAGGTCGGGACTCAGTGCTGGCCAAGGTAATGTGGTGATGTTCTGTTGTTGGAGGTAACCTGTAACGATCCTGGCCCTGTGACATCTTGCGTTGTCATCCTGGAAGATGAAACGGCGGCCATGACGTCGTGCGAACGGCACAACATGGACTGCCAAGATGTTGTCCCGGTAGTACTGGCCTGTAACACGCCCTGCAACAACATGTAAAGCCGTTCTTCCAGCAACAGTGATGCCTCCCCACACCATAACAGAACCACCCCCAAATCGATCATGTCTGATGACGTTAACGTCTTGGAAGCGCTCGTTTCGACGACGCCACACCCTCCTACGTCTGTCCAAAAAATCAACAGTGAACCTTGACTCATCTGAAAACATCACATTGCTCCAGCGTCGATTATCCCAGTGTTGACGATCCCTACACCAACGACGTCTTGCCTGAATGTGATGATCTCTCAAACAAGGGATCACGCGAGGACGTCGGGCGCGAAGGTGACCCCTATGCAGTCGATTCCGAATCGTCTGGCCACTCACTCTCACACCAGTGTCTGTTTGAAGACGAGCGCTGATCTGATTTGCTGTGATGAACCGATTTCTCAAGGCCAAGGTACGGATAAATCGATCCTGGGCTTGAGTTGTCGCCCTTGGTCGACCTGAGCGTGGTCTGTCCTGTACAGATTGTGTATCACGGTATCTGGACCATAGCCTGCTTATGACAGACTGAGAAACATTCATCGTCCGCGCCACAACCGCCTGTGTTGTGCCGATCTGTAGCATGCCAAGGGCACGTAACCTTTCATTTTGGGTAAGCCGACGCATATCAAAATTTGTTTTCTGGTCACTAAAACAATTAAACTGATGTTTCCACCCTGGAATTCAATGCCACAATGACTGTAACATTCAAAGTCAGAGTCGTGCAAATCTTGGGTTGGACCCCCATGATGATCCCAAGCATCACCTGCATTCCATGCGGTAGCTATTGGTGCGTTTGGGCGTCACATGTAACTGGAAATGTTTCTTCTGTTAGGTTCTATAGTGATTTTTTTCGTAGTCATTTGCATATTTTAGTATTATGCCCCCAAAATCAAATATCCCCTACTTTTTTTTAATAGTATATATGATTCGTGTAATTCAGTATTTATACATTTAAATCATGACGTGACTTGTAATTTTTTTAATACTCAGAAGCCTTTTATAACGGGCGTTTTACCGGTGGCCTCTTACCAAGATAAATCTAGAAATACCAGATAAATTTATACATAAAATGGCCCCGTGATGCATAGGTGTGCAGGTTCGACGAATGTTAGGGAGGGGGAGAGCGGGTGGCAGAACCTGCAATGCCTGAAAACATGTCGTGTTACAGACGGCTGTGCCGGAAATCTGCGACAGGCGAAGGAGAGGACGGCCACAAACTCGTTTTCCTGCTATCTCAACCAGTGAAAATACAACAACTTCAAAGGGATCCCGTTATTCGTTATTAAAAATTTGAATCCCGAATAACGAAACGCGTTCTGTTATTCGTTATTCAGTAAAATAGCGTAATGGCCAATGGACTTTCCGTATGCAAAATGCACATGATGAACAGTGTTAACAGATGAAGAAGACACAATCAGGAAGATAGTATACGCGTCAATTAAATATATATACAATAATAGTCGAAAGCTCCATAAACTTACTGATTATTTAAATATATCGAACTGAATTAACATAAAGTTTTACATGTATTTACACGGCCTTTGTTAAATTATTCTCTCTCTCTCCCTCTCTCTCCCCCTCTCTTTCTCTCTCTCTCTCTCTCTCTGGGTTTACCCCATAACATGATATAACTCTTTCATTGTACTTGGTTTACAGGGAATTATACCAGTATGGTTTCTCAACAGACAGAACGTGTCCTTATTCTTTCCTCGAACATAGGCTGCCATGCGACTAAATCCACTAAAACTAATCATTAAAACATCACATTTCATTAATATTTGCTGATCAACCACAACCTTTCTAAATCCTTCACAATCCTTCTGATGCCTGGCCTTGTCAAAGTGAATTACCTGCCCCTTATTCTCTACCATTTGATCAGGAAATAAGATTCTCGCGCGTGTTACGTCACTGTCTGAATCTGACGTAAAAAATATCCTGTATATATCAGGGTTATTATAATGACGTAAAAACTTCCACACGTGCAAAACGTCCTCGTCAGATACTCTCACTTGAGAATCATTGGGTATAGTAGGGTTACGTCCCCTTCTCACGTGAGCACAAACCAATTTGTGTTTTTCAGATGGTAACGCTGTTTCCATAAACGTATTCATTAATTTCTGAGAGTCCGGAGCTAAGGTGAATAATTCTTTTACAATCTTAGCATAGACTTGATCACGTGACAGGTGTTTCATCCACGAAAGCTGTGTGTTGTACAATTTGTTCTGTTTCAATCCATCCACGTAATCTAAGTTTGTCCGAAAATAAACAATGGGTTTTTTAAACTCGACGTTAAAATCCATATCTTTTATGGTGCTGTAGAATTTAGTAGACCCGGCGTAGAAATGATTTGAAATACTTGACTTCTTTAACACGGGGTTGATATCCCAATTTATGATATTAGGTTGTATTATGGAACTTAAATTGCATGGAATGTCGGTTATCTGGATACCAAATTTACGATTCGTGAGAGTAGATAATATGTAGCCAGTTACAACCCCCCTTAAGCGATCCGTCCAACCGCCGCATGTACCACTTCCGTCACAATGGTATATCAAATAGCGACTCGTGCTGTTCGTTTCCACAATTTGTTTATCGGGAAAATTTTGTCGGAAATACATATTCAAATCTTGTTCCCGTTTCACTTGTTTATCGTTGTTAGTGTTATTTTCGGTGTTCCATACATTTGGAAAAATATTAAAGCTGATTAGAAGCACACATAGACACACCGAAACAGCCATCATCACACGCTGTAAAATATACAAAATATATCTTTTGTGATTTAATTAAAACCTATTATCACGAATCAATCTCATTCAATATTCAGATAAGTTATAACTCGCCTTAAAGGGACTATCCCTTATTTGAACAGAGTCTCAAAAATAAAAGTCTGAGTATGTATGAAATTTAAACGCCAAACTAGAGGAATGGTGTATGGACCGTATCTCAAAATTTCAGCTCAAAATATTGAGTCGTTTGGACGTGATCATCAAAACTGCTTATCCGGACACGTAACCCTTTTAAGATTTTGGGTCAATTTTTTCGTTGGGAGACCTGATAATCGATTCCCGTTCATTGAGAGGTCTATACAGTGAATGACCCAAATGCTGTACTTGATAATGAAAGGTAAATTTCACCTACACATTATTTTTATACAAAAAATGTCTGGTTTTATCTAGACACCGCATAATACAGCTTGGGATACTGGTCTCCATTTCCAGATGAAGACTGACGGATTTCACTTATTTGAAAACTTGTCACAAATATTGAGTTAGTTGCTCGGCCCTTAGGTAGAGGATTTTCAGGGATTTTAAAACAAAATTAAACAGTTTTATTCTCCAAAAAATTATCGGGATTAGCCCTTTAAGCATCTAATGTAATAAATAATGTGTTATGGGGTCTTGTTTACAGTGTGTGATGTTATAGAGAGATAAAGGGTAAAGTTCATAGACAGATTGTCGCTTTAATGTTTGTAATTTATTATGCGTTTCAGTCTCCATTTTGTCTCTTTCGTGGCATTAATAATTTACGATAAGTCGTATAACTTTACTTCGTTTCTGTCCATCCTAATAAAAGCAGCATTATTTAAGAGTTAAATGTACCTAATAGAGATCTTTCGTTTGACCTCAAATACTATATAAATCGTTACCTTTTATTTACACGTCAGGCCCATAATCAACTCTCTAGAACGTCGGATGGTTTTAATTTTCAACGGATTTAAATACGATTGGCAGTTAATGATTTAATTTAAAACTGGATAACTGGGGCTTTGTTGTTTATAATCCTAACAACGATAGCAGTGACAATCAAGACTACACAGTTCTGTAAACGACGATAACTCCGCTCAGAATGAAGTAATTTGTCTGACACTTTACACATATTCCCCTTTCATTTTTTATAGCATGAAATATCGGCTCTTTGTCTAAATCTTTAAGCTGCCATATGAAAATAGCCCTGATCTCTGTTTGGAGAGCCCTTGACTAGAAACTAGAGATGGCCGTAATGCCGCTGTCCGGGCAAAATTATCCCCATAGCACACTGTAATACGCATGCCTGTTTGGTATTTTTTTTTTTCTTTAACCCAGTCGAAGCTGAAAAGTGGGACATTATAAACCCCATTTCATTTCAATTCTGTTGAAAAAAAGGAAACCAAAAATCAAACTCGAAACAAGAAAAACACCATTTCATTACAATTCTGTTGAAAAAAGAAACCAAAAATCAAACTCGAAACAACAAAAAGGTCATACAGATAGATTATCTTCTTACCTTTATTTTCATTTTCAGATTTTTACTCCTCAATTTTCGTTTCGTGTCTAAAATGTATATAAAATATACGGGGCTCAAATGTAGTCGCCTATCCAAGTTTCAAAACATCCGACACTCTTATGACTGAATGTGCACTGATATGAACACTGCGTAACGGCCCTGGGTGAAATAACAATGTTTTCTTGTCGTCCCTTATCTGTAATGTATGTAGGCTACTACAGTTGAAATGATTTCATATAACAACACTTTAATTTACCCGGCGCACATAACAATATTGTAGTAAAACTTTAAATAATGAAATGAAATGAGGTTTAACGTCCTACTGTTCTGCTCATAACCTGGACTAATGCAGACGGGTCTACGCCATACAGTGTGTTATGAGGAAACTTTGGCGCTATTGCACTTTCGTACCTCTACCAGTTCCTGTGGTCGTAGGAACTTGAAATTATTAGAGGATGTTACGAGGGACTAGCAATGACCACACACCAAATTTCAGCCGAATCGATCAATAACTTTTTATTTTACCGACCTTTTAATTTCTAACGAGAGAGAACTTTATCTGTTTGACGCCATTTGCTTTGTTTACTATTTAGACTCGAATAACAAGACACTAAGACGGAAACCGACACACTGCACTAGCTGCCTATCTCTGCAGTTCATAAAAATTAATATAATTTTCGTATACTTTAATTTTTGCGCGAAGCCACCATGTTCTATAAAATACTATTTGGTGTTGATCAGTGGATTGGCCTTTAGGTGTGAATATTGCCGTGACCTTGATTTTGACCTTGAGTCTTAACTTCCCATCCATATCAGGGCCTTTGCGTTTATGATTGCCGTGGCCTTATTTCTTACTGTATTTTCAAAGTTAATGTTCGAGGTGAAAGCAGAGACGACGTCCTTCGGAAAAGATGATTGGGTCAAAGTCGTAGGTCAAGGTCATGTTACAGAAAACTAAACTCAAACTTTTCAAAGTCATTTTTTGGACATTTGACCTTGACTTACGACCTTGACCCCGTAACCATTTTCGAAGGCTATCACCATGGCTTGAATCATGGACGTTTACCTTGGTTCTGTCACACACTGCTCGGTCAGAAAAGGGTCAAACGGAGAGGGGCCCGTGTCCGAAAGGAAGTCAATGGGCGTGGTCAATGTGAAAGGTCGTAGTGACCTCCACTAGTCACCGTTAACCATCCGTGACCTTGACCCTGACCTAGAGTCCGAACTTCCCATCCATCTCGGACCCTTTTTTATGCGTGCCGTGACCTTATTTCATTTTTGGGACAGGGCCAGGGTAAACGTCGATGGTTCAAGCCAAGATGATGGGCTTTGAAAATGGTTACGGGTCAAGCTCGTAAGTCAAGGTCAAATGTCCCAAAACTGACCTTGAAAAGTTTGAGTTCAGTTTTCTATAACATGACCTTGACCTACGAATTTGACCCAATTATCTTTTCTGAGGGACGTTGTCTTTGATTTCACCTCAAGCATTAACTTTGATAATACAGTAAGAAATAGGGTCACGGCAAGCATAAACGAAAAGGGCCCGAGATTGATGGGAAGTTTGGACTCAAGGTCGAAGTCAAGGTCACGGATGGTTAAAGGTGACTAGTGGAGGTCACCACGAACTTTCACATTGACCACGCCCTTTGACGTTCTTTCGGACACGGGCCCCTCTGCGTTTGACCGTTTTCTGACCGAGCAGTGTGCGACAGGGCCAGGGTAAACGTCGATGGTTCAAGCCAAGATTATGGGCTTTGAAAATGGTTATGGGATCAAGGTTGTAAGTCAAGGTCAAATGTCCCAAAACTGACTTTGAAAAGTTTGAGTTCAGTTTTCTGTAACATTACCTTGACCTACGACTTTGACCCACTTATCTTTTCTGAAGGACGTTGTCTCTGCTTTCACCTCAAGCATTAACTTTGATAATACAGTAAGAAATAGGGTCACGGCAAGCATAAACGAAAAGGGCCCGAGATGGATGGGAAGTTTGGACTCAAGGTCGAAGTCGAGGTCACGGATGGTTAAAGGTGACTAGTGGAGGTCACCACGAACTTTCACATTGACCACGCCCTTGACTTCCTTTCGGGCACGGGCCCCTCTGCGTTTGACCGTTTTCTGATCGAGCAGTGTGCGACAGGACCAAGGTAAACGCCCATGATTCAAGCCAAGTTGATAGCCTTCGAAAATGGTTACGGGGTCAAGGTCGTAAGTCAAGGTCAAATGTCCCAAAACTGACTTTGAAAGTTTGAGTTTAGTTTTCTGTAACATGACCTTGACCTACGACTTTGACCTTTTAACTTTTCTGAAGGACGTTGTCTCTGCTTTCACCTCAAGCATTAACTTTGATAATACAGTAAGAAATAGGGTCACGGCAAGCATAAACGAAAAGGGCCCGAGATGGATAGGAAGTTTGGACTCAAGGTCAAAGTCAAGGTCACAGATGTTAAAGGTGACTAGTGGAGGTCACCACGACCTTTCACATTGACCACGCCCATTGACTTCCTTTCGGACACGGGCCCTTTGCGTTTGACCCTTTTCTGACCGAACAGTGTGCGACAGGACCAAAGTAAACGTCGATGGTTCAAGTCAAGGTGATAGCCTTCGAAAATGGTTACGAGGTCAAGGTCGTAAGTCAAGGTCAAATGTCCCAAAACTGACTTTGAAAAGTCCAAGTTTAGTTTTCTGTAAGATGATCTTGACCTACGACTTTGACCCAATTATCTTTTCTGGAGGACGTCGTCTCTGCTTTCACCTCGAACATTAACTTTGATAATACAGTTAGAAATAAGGCCACGACAAGCATAAACGCAAAGGGCCCGAGATGGATGGGACGTTTGGACTCAAGGTCAGAGTCAAGGTTACGGATGGTTAACGGTGACTAGTGGAGGTCACCACGACCTTTCACATTGACCACGCCCATTGACTTCCTTTCGGACACGGACCCTCTGCGTTTGACCGTTTTCTGACCGAGCAGTGTGCGATAGGACCAAGGTAAACGTTCATGATTCAAGCCAATGTGATAGCCTTCGAAAATGGTTACGGGGTCAAGGTCGTAAGTCAAGGTCAAATGTCCCAAAAATGACTTTGAAAAGTTTGAGTTTAGTTTTCTGTAACATGACCTTGACCTACGACTTTAACCCAATTATCTTTTCTGAAGGACGTCATCTCTGCTTTCACCTCGAACATTAACTTTGATAATACAGTAGGAAATAAGGCCACGGCAAGCATAAACGCAAAGGCCCCGATATGGATGGGAAGTTTGTCCTCAAGGTCAAAATCAAGGTCACGGCAATATTCACACCTAAAGGCCAATCCACTGATCAACACCAAATAGTATTTTATAGAAAATGGTGGCTTCGCGCAAAAATTAAAGTATACGAAAATTATATTAATTTTTATGAACTGCAGTGTTAGGCAGCTATTGCAGTGTGTCGGTTTCCGTCTAAGTGTCTTGTTATTCGAGTCGGTTTCCGTCTTAGTGTCTTGTTATTCAAGTCTAATTAGTAAACAAAGCAAATGGCGTCAAACGGATGAAGTTCTCTCTCGTTAGAAATTAAAAGGTCGGTAAAATAAAAAGTTATTTATCGATTCGGCTGAAATTTGGTGTGTGGTCATTGCTAGCCCCCCTTAACATCCTCTGAAAATTTCAAGTGCCTACGACCACGGGAACTGGTAGAGGTACGAAAGTGCAATAGCGCCGAAACTTTTGCCCGGGCAGTGGCGCTACGTCCTACTCTTATATCGAATTACAACTGCCTAGATTGATGTGTAATTATAGTTAGCCGTATAATTGTCGCGTGCATACACCACACACCTTTTCTCCCACTGCTAAAGAACCCTACGCGTAAACGATTTGTTGAAATAAAAATAGAATAGAATAATAATTGTTTTCCATGAAAAGTTTAGTATTTGATTATGTCCGAATTATTAAATGCCATTTAAAAAATATATGGTAATTATTAGAAATAAACAAAAGGAAAGATAAGCAAATATTTGGACTTGGTTATTATTAATTTATAAAAATCAAATCATCGATTTTCTCAAGTACAACCTTTGAAAACTTCAATTCTTAAATTGGTAGGCTACCAACATCACGTTTTTTTACTATGTATTTTATCGTACCGAATTTAGTAATGATGATCGAGGCTAGGCTCAAAATTCAATCGCTAAATACTCGGTTCAGGGTGAATCAATTTGACTGATATTTTCAGCAAGTTCCCTTTACATTATCTAGTTTTTAACTATTATAATCACCAGCTCTTTATTTAATCTCCCATACTGTATATTTAAATATATCAAACCGAATTAACATAAAGTTTTACATGTATTTACACGGCCTTTGTTAAATTAACACGTTGAATCATACCCCCCACCCTCTCTCTCTGTTGGTTTACCCCATAACATGATATAACTCTTTCATTGTACTTGGTTTACAGGGAATTATACCAGTATGGTTTCTCAACAGACAGAACGTGTCATCATCCTTTCCTCGAACATAGGCTGCCATGCGACTAAATCCACTAAAACTAATCATTAAAACATCACATTTCATTAATATTTGCTGATCAACCACAACCTTTCTAAATCCTTCACAATCCTTCTGATCCCTGGCCTTGTCAAAGTGAATTACCTGCCCCTTATTCTCTACCATTTGATCAGGAAATAAGTTTCTCGCGCGTGTTACGTCACTGTCTGAATCTGACGTAAAAAATATCCTGTATATATCAGGGTTATTATAATGACGTAAAAACTTCCACACGTGCAAAACGTCCTCGTCGGATACTCTCACTTGAGAATCATTGGGTATAGTAGGGTTACGTCCCCTTCTCACGTGAGCACAAACCAATTTGTGTTTTTCAGATGGTAACGCTGTTTTCATAAACGTATCCATTAATTTCTGAGAGTCCGGAGCTAAGGTGAATAATTCTTTTACAATCTTAGCATAGACTTGATCACGTGACAGGTGTTTCATCCACGAAAGCTGTGTGTTGTACAATTTGTTCTGTTTCAATCCATCCACGTAATCTAAGTTTGTCCGAAAATAAACAATGGGTTTTTTAAACTCGACGTTAAAATCCATATCTTTTATGTTGTTGTAGAATTGAGTAGAACCGGCGTAGAAATGATTTGAAATACTTGACTTCTTTAACACGGGGTTGGAATCCCATTTTATGATATTAGGTTGTATTATTGAACTTAAATTGCATGGAATGTCGGTTATCCGGATATCAAATTTACGGTTAGTGAGAGTAGATAAAATGTAGCCGGTTACAATCCCCTTTAAGCGATCCGTCCATCCGCCGCAAGTACCACTTCCGTCACAATGATATATCAAATAGCGACTCGTGTTGTACGTTTCCACAATATGTTTATCAGGAAAATTTTGTCGAAAATACATATTCAAATCTTGTTCCCGTTTCACTTGTTTGTCGTTGTTTGTGTTATCTTCGGTGTTCCGTACATTTGGAAAAATATTAAAGCTGATTAGAAGCACACATAGACACACCGAAACAGCCATCATCACACGCTGTAAAATATTCAAAATATATATATTGTGATTTAATTAAAACCTGTTATCACGAATCAATCTCATTCAATATTCAGATAAGTAACTCGCCTTAAGCATCTAATGTAATAAATAATTTGTTGTGGAGTCTTTGCTCTGGGTGGTGTATGTTGGACTTGTGAAACCAGTGTGGAAGTGGACATATTGTTTGTGTTACTAGGCAACGCTGGATTAATTTTTTTTAATGAAAAACCTACTATAGGCCTATTACGTTCATCTACAAACTTACTTTACCGTACAAACATCCACATTTCTAAAATACGACGTTTGAAAATTCTAATTTTGGCTACCAAAATAACGCTTGTTTACAGTGTGTGATGTTATAGAGAGACAAAGGCTAAAGTTCATAGACAGATTGTCGCTTTAAAGTTTGTAATTTATTGTGTGTTTCAGTCTCCATTTTGTCTCTTTCGTGGCATTAATAGTTTACGATAAGTCGCATAACTTTATTTCGTTTTTGTCCATCCTAATAAAATCTGCCCAATAGAGATCTTTCGTTTGGCCTCTAGGGGATCACGTGGCTAAGTGGGTAAGACGCTGGCTCGCTAGCCTGGAGTTCGGGTGTTCGATCCCTGCATTGGCCGAGAAAGTTCATCCAGATTTTCCGGCGTGGTTCCCCCTTGTCAGTGATGTAGGACGGAGGGCCTGACAATGACAGCTGTCTAGTCCTACGGATGAGACGAAAAACCGTGGTCCCGTGTATATACATTAGAATGCACGTAAAAGATTCCTTGGCAGTTGGAATTCGATATAAGAGTAGGCGATAGTGCCGCTGCCCGGGCAAAATTTTCCTCATAGCACACTGTATGGCGTATGCCCGTCTTCATTAGCCCAGCATAGGAGCAGAAAAGTAGGACGTTAAACCCTATTTCATTTCATTTCATTTCGTTTGGCCTCAAATGCTATATAAATCATTACTTATTATTTACACGTCAGGCCCATAATCAAATCTCTAGAACATCGGATGGTTTTGATTTTCAACGGTTTTAAATACGATTGACAGTTAATGATTTAATTTAAAACTGGATAACTGGGGGTTTGTTTATTATCCTAAAAACATCAGCAGTGACAATCAAGACTACAAAGTTCTGTAAACGACGATAACTCCGCTCAGAATGAAGTAATCTGCCTGAAATTTTACACATATTCCCCTTTCATTATCTATTTCATTAACTACTATAGTAAGAAATATCAATTCTTTATCTACATCTTTAAGCTGCAATATGACAATAGCCCTGACCTCTGCTTGGAGACCCCTTGCCGCTGTCCGGGCAAAATAATCCCTATAGAAAACTGTAAGGCCTGTTTTCATTAACCCAGTCGGAGCAGAAAGTTGAGACATTAAATCCCATGTCATTTCAATTCTGCTGAAAAAAGAAACCAAAAAGCAAACCCGAAACAACAAAACTCCCATTACATTTAAAGTAGCTAAGTCTCTAACTCAATATCTTCAAAAATCTTCGACAATGAAAACACGAATTATTTGTCAATTCAAATCAACATTGGTCTTCATGATCTTACAGGGAAAAGAGGGGCTATTGATATCCAGTATTAAAGACAAATAAACATTTTACCCTTGGTACACGAATTACCATAATGCGTTCAGTGCCATATTTAACAAGGGACTCGAAGAACGAGGCTAGACATATTCCACAAGTCATGTCAACCATAGACATACTAATAATATAGACTGATAACGTCATCAGATCAGTGACGCCACGGTCCGCCATATTGGACTACCCCTCGATGACGTTTGCGTCATTGATTTCATTATAATAGGTCTTGTTTATTAATCAAATAGTTGTGATTTTTCGTCCATATTCCTGTTATTTTAATAAATATTTCTAAAAATGAAATACTTAGGTTTTTTCTTTTTATTTCAATTATATTTTGGATTTGGATTTTGGGGTGTTAAAATAGCTCAGTCATTCTATTCAAGCGCATAAAATCTGTTTCACGATAATTCCGTTTTTTTTATTCTTATTTTCTCGTTGTTTACTTTTTATAGATTATTTTCGTTGTAGAACTATATATTTTTAAAATAAATTCGCGCATTGTTACTTACTGAGATGATCGCGGTAGTAGTATACTTAAACCACACAGTAATCAGTATACGCCTTGCTCAATGTTTTCTGGCACTCTCATTGTTTTTAGAATTATCTGTACAGGTATCTCTCTCTCTCTCTCTCTCTCTCAAAAAAAACCCCCAAATAATAATTAATAAAAAAACCCACAATGGCCTGGGGTTGGAGAGCTCACGGCCCTCGGACTAACCGAGTCCGCCAGGTATTACATGATAAAATTTTCATTGACAATCCTATCAAAGGTCCGTTTTTGATGTACGCGTTTTCGCCGGTTAAATAATAGACATTTGTATGAAGCCCGTTTTCCATGTACTCGTTTTAGCAGCGTAATGGAAATGGCCCCATTACATTTGCATTAGACTAATGCCCACAGAGAAAATGGATCTAAGACCGACCTTTTCGCCGGCAAAAACGCGTATACATGGTAATATAAACCAGCCTAACACTGACAAAGAGAAACTTAAAAATGCATTATCTAATATTTAGATAAAGAGCTGGCAGTTCTCGCTATAATAATTTAAAAGCCGAATTCAGAAATTTTCCCTTTTATCAGTACAGATAATTAAATATAGAAATTTTCTGAGGTTATAATTGCCCCGAATATTCACTGCTGATCAGTGTGCCAGCCTATACACAGGTAGGTGACGGCGACGAGTCCATTGTTGAACCAGTCAGACAGGGGTGGAGGGTAACACAATTCAGCTGATCAGAGGCCGGAGATCAACAGATTTCAGAAGCTGGAGATGCTAGCAGCTTTGTAGGCATAAAAGGGTGCACAATGACGCAAGGACACGGCAGGACACCAGGACCGCCGACTTACGATGGGGATCACTACCATTTTTAAGTATTCTTTTCTCCTATCCCGCGAGAATATAATGGGGCAAAAAAAATTTTGCCACGGCAAAAAAGGGTGGGGGGTGCGCCCCCTCTCTGGATCCGCGCCTGGAAGACGGGCATATGCCAGTGTGCTATGACGGAAATTTTGCCCGGACAGCCGGCACTACGGCCTTCTCTTATATCGAATTCCAAGGGATCTTTTACGTGCACGTCAATGTCTACGGGACCTGTAACTGTAACTATGGATAATCTTATACATATGAGAATAGGTCCGGGAGCCTAGGAAAATTTGACACAATCCTATGCAAGTTTTGGCGGTTATCTTTGATCCGACTACCTTTTTTCATCAGCGCTATTTCCCCTATATAATCCTAACCCTAATCATAAATGGGGGATAAACAAATCAAAAGTTGGAAAAGGGCTGTCGGATCAAAATAATCGTCAAATTTTCCTATCCATATGTATAAGCTTATCGATATTTACATATAGGCTTAAATCCAATTCTGTTTAGAGAAAAATGCACATTGTTGTTATGTCTGTAATTTTATAGCATTTGTTTTCCTAATGTTAGGCCATTTACATAGGCGTGTATAAGAAATACATCACAAACATCATATAGGTTTTTAGTAGAATAGGCCTATTGCTTTATGCTTGGCCTTAATCTGTAAAGTATGTTTTCCTTTACTATTCCTTTCATTCATTAATTTCTTTCTCCTTTCTTTCTTCCTCTACGCACAGGAACCTGACCTTCTAATCGTATATACATACACCATAATGAACTAGACAATATATATAATAAATTATATATTGTCTAGTTCGGTGTGGTGTATGCATATATAATACGGATAGAATGTCAGATTCCTGTGCTCTACGATGTAATAATTGTAAAAGCTGGGAATCGGATGTAGGCCTAAATTCTAAATCAACGTGAACGTCGGTCTTGTCTTGTGAGCAAATAATAATACGTGAAACGTGGCTAAACTCACCATATTTTCGACTAAATATGATTGTTACTCCACTTACTCACGTATGAAATGATAAAATCACAATGGAAAGTTTGTGGCCGCTTTTGAATGCAACATAACACGGCATTATCGGCAAACCTACATACGGCAACGTTGAACAATGGCGTCATGTGGGGTAGCGGAAGATGGCGGATTTTCTACTTCCTGTGGCGTCACTATTGTCCATATTGACGTCATTGGATGAAGCAGTCCAAAGCCCTGTATAGGGAAAGTTACGACAACTCATTTACAGGCGCCATGTTGGGTCCCAACCATGACGCCATAAAAACTATGACGTCATGGCGTCATATAGCTTTACTTAGCAAAACGTTTTATTGTTTTCAATGATAAATATGTCAGACAAAATCATACTCAAAATCGGCCAATGCAAAATGACACGATTAATAGAATTAAATTTGGTGTTCTTCAGGAATTATCGGAGAGCGATAACTTGTACTGAGTGTCTTTCAATGGTGGAAGGATAAATAATTCTTTTTAAATTCCTCAAACACAGAGTAGTTATGCAAGCGAAATGTGTCGAAAAATCGACAAATATCAATTTATAAAATGTATTTTTCATTTGGTGGCGGGCATTTCTTTCAAAATGACTGCCAAATTTGGTAATATAATACCATTTTAAAAAAAAAGAAAAAAAAAGAAACAAGATTAATTTGGTAATAAAAGGGCAACGATAATCTCAAAAATTTAATTTCTAGAATTCCTGATGGTAGAAATTCAAAATAGCCGGCAAAATGAAATCCAAAATGGTGGAATTTTCATTAATCGTCATTTCTCTCCGTTGGGTATGACTTGTAATATGTGGTATATTAATCCCGAAATGAATATAATGTGAACGCGCTTTAAACATCTAGATGCAATGGGCTTGGTGGTGAAAATTCTCGGTACATTGAAATGTTGGCAATAAAGATCCAATTATAGTTTTTAGTTATAATCTGTTAACCACCCATAGATGTTTTAATGACAATAAATCATAAACTTTATTCAGCTCGGCGCAAGACTTAACATGAATAGATGCAGTTCGTTTAACTTGAATGTAGATATTATATATGTATGTTGCATATATAGGACCTTTCGGTTGAATCATATCATAATAGTATCTTATTTAATAGTTTTACATATTTGTCGACATTATGGTGTACTTGTTCTATTGTTCCATTTAGCCCATGAATTTTCTTTTTTCACTTGACATTTTGTAGGAATGTAGGCTTTTATATATTGAACAAAAAGCTGATAAATGTTGAGATGTGTGGAACATGGTCGATATGATTTGTGACAAACCTCAGACACGATATATATTTGATGCTAGTTGAGCATCAGAACAACATGATTATTTCATTGGAAATGGGGCGCAAGTACCCAAAGGAGTCGGACAAACTCTAAACCAACTGTCTCCTTCACTGGGCTGTCAGTGAACCTGTGGAATAACATGTACATAATTTGTATCTGTTAAATTTGTGCGGTTTATATATTAGATTAATATTATTTTTTACACAAATTTCAAAAGAAACCAGAAAGTTTCGGAGAGCTCTATCTCGTATCACATGTCACTTATGAAACATATGTCTGAAACACATGTCACGCTGTTAGACACCTTTTTTCTTTAAATTACACTGATTTTACACTGGTTTTAAGCTACGTTGATTTTAAATGTTTTATCCATTAGACAATTTAAAGAAATTTCTATTTTCGAAAAATTGATGATACAATTAATGATCGATGACCAAAAACTGACACACAATCCGGAATTGCTCCAGACCAAAAAGTCATGGAATTTCAGGCATTTATTTTGTCGGCTAGAAGGCAAAAAGGTTTTATCTCCCAAATTACTATTTAAATTTTCATTTTTCACTTTACCCGTCTGCACAAAAAATCAGGCCTCAAGTTCACAAAGCATTCTCAGACGGAAGTTAAGAATTTACTCAAAATTGTTGGCCTTATTTTAACTACAATACAACCCTTTATAAAACTTTTGTTGTTTTAATGTATCAAATACATCAATAAGACACAATGTGCAAAGTTTTGTGTTTCTGGATCAATAAAATTTCCCATAAACGGTGTCTGAAAGTTGAGTAAATTCTTAACGTAAATCTGAGAATGCTTTGTGAACTCGGGGCCTGATTTTTAAAAGCGTATGCAAGTTAAATATATTTAATATCGTTTTTATCTGGTGTATCTTTCATTTCATCTTCTTATGAATTAAACTATATCATTATAACAATAATGTGCGCTTTTTGTTGTATAATAATAATAATAATAATAGTTTGTTCAGCTATACTTTTCGTTGATAAAATGTATGTTTTACCTCTTCGCGGAATTCTATGAAATAGTCATCTACGCCCCTATCTGGGGGCAGCCAACTTCGACACAACAATATGATAGGACATAAAATAAATTGTAACAAATACTTGGGACCCAAGATGGCGTCGTTGTACACTTGACGTCATATTTTCATGACGTCACATGAAATTTCTGGCTTCACAGTTGTCGCAACTTTATCTATATACGGCTTTGAAGCAGTCTATATTATTATTATGTCTATGATGTCAACGGTGACGCCATTTTCTTATTATGCGCAATAAATACTATCGATGTAGACTGGAATAATCAGACGCTAAAGATTACCATTCGATTGAGACTTCTGGCGTATTTCGCCCAACATAACTGATTTGAACTTAAAGAAAAACAGAAGCGTTTGAATGTAAATCAGTTTATATACATTCATATTACACATTATTATATGCGTTGTGATATATTTCTGTCAATTTCTAGGTGCCAAATATTAGCGATTCAGCTTCTTTAAAATACGTTGAAAAAAAGAAACCAAAAATCAAACTCGAAACAACAAAAAGATCATACAGATTATAGATTATCTACTTACCTTTATTTTCATTTTCAGATTTTTACTCCTCAAGTTTCGTTTCGTATCTAAAATGTATATAAAATATACTGGGCTCAAATGTAGTCGTCTGTCCAAGTCTCAAAACATTCGACACTCATTGTTGATTGAATGTGCACTGATGATATCGAGAACGACAACACTGCGTAACGGCCCTGGGGGATTTAACAATGTTTTCTTGTCGTGTTATCTGTTATGATTGTAGGCTACGTTTCAAATGATCTGATATAAAAACACTTTAATTCACCCGGCGGACATAACAATATCCTAGCAAAATGCTCAAATAAAACAAAATGAAATAAATGAAATGAAATGGTGTTTAACGTCCTACTGTTCTTCTCAGAACTGGGCTAATGAAGACGGGCATACGCCATACAGTGTGCTATGAGGGAAATTTTGCCCGGACAGCGCCACTACGGCCTACTCTTATACCGAATTCCAACTGCTAAGGGATATTTTACGTGCACGCCAATGTGTACACGCGACCTCGGTTTTTCGCCCCACCCGAACGACTAGACAGATGTCCTTGTCAGGCCCTCCACCCTACATCACTGACAAGAGGGAACCACGCCGGAAAATCTTGATGAACTTTCTCGGCCAATGCAGGGATCGAACGCCCGACCTCCAGGCTAGCGAGGCAGCTTCTTACCCACTTAGCCACTGTGGCCCAGCCAAAATAAAGCAACACAACGCATTATCTATATATATGTAGACACAGTGCCTGTTGCGGCCTATCGAATATTCACCGCTGATCAATGTGTGAGCGACATGAGTAAAATGGAAACTTTAATTTGTGAATTATTCACGTCGTATTTCTGTTTAATCACGCATTATTGTCACACCTTTACAAAAATCGATATCTCACTTTCTTATGGAAGTGGAATGAAAGAAGGTCGGCGAGCAAACAATTGATGCAAATACTATAAGGGGTCCTATGTGGCTCAGTGAGTAAAGCGCTGGCTCAATTCCAACTGCCAGGGAATCTTTTGCGTGCATTCCAATGTATACACGGGACCTCGGGTTTTCGTCTCATCCGAAGGACTAGACAGCTGTCCTTGTCAGGCCCTCCGTCCTGCATCACTGACAAGGGGGAATGGGAGAGAAAGAAGGGGTCTAACGCATAAGGTCTATCATTGAGTCAAGTGGCATGTTTTCGATCCCAAGCTTGTACGTGACGAGGAGTAGGGTCTACTGTTAAAAGTCTCTCGCTGTATAATTGTATAATAAGGTCTGTCATTGAGTCAACTAGCGTGATTTCGATTCCACGGTTGGAAGTGACAAGGAGTAGGGTCGCCTGTCCAACCTCTCTCCCTTAATATGGGAGAGAGAGAGAGAGAGAGAGAGAGATAGCATTATATTTATATCTCAAAATCTATTTATTAAACAACTGATCATAATAAAACTATTCATCAGTATATTATATACTAAGTTCTGTGTAATTACTTGAAAATATCACTATGTATATATGTTCGAATGTTATTTATATCTACACTGTTAACAATGGGTGTAATTAAAAACTATCAACAGTGTTAATTAATTAATTAATTAATTAATTGTAAACTTTACCAGGGCAGTAACTAGCTCAGAGCAACGGGGGGGGGGGGGGGGGGGGGCAGAAGTGTTCTTAGGGGTGCTGTAAAATTGACGGACAATGTATACCTATTGTTTTTTATGGTCGAAAATTTTTCACAGGGGGGGGGGGGGGCGAAACTTTTTGCAGGGGGCTGAAATTTACACCACAGTGTTTTTAAAATGTAACACTTTCCGAAGGGTAACCAACAAAAAGAGCGACACCCAACAAGTGTAACCTATATTCATGACTACTGAACACTTAAACAGGAGCAATTGTCAGGTGGTTTGGATGTGCTACACCACTACCAGTGTTATACTGTATTTACACCAAAGGGTGTAACTATTATTGGGGAATACATCCCAAATGTGTTACAAATGTGTTATTGATATCCATGCGGTACTGAACACCAATATGGGTGTAATTGTAGCCGCTAAAGGGTGTTTAGGATGAGCTACACCGCCACAAGCATATGCTTGCATTTACACCAACGGGTGTGATTATTATCATGTATGATAATCTTAATACATTTTTCATCGCCTCCAGTATAGATTATTTTAGCAGGTTTACACTTAAAGACGTGTAAATTTTCCTAAATAAAACATATTATTCCACTAAGTTGTAAGGAATTGTGTACTGAATTTTCCTATAACTCATTTTAGAGTGTTTACGCATAACGAGTAAAGTATAGATTGTTTTAGCTTGTATACACTTTAAGACGCGTAAATGTTCCAAAATATTACCAAGTACAATATCTTAATTAATAATTCTTAATTCAGGTGAGGTGCATAAATGAGTAAAGCACATTATTCATCTAAGTTGTAATGAGAAATGGGGTTTGAAGTCCACTCGACACAAGCTAGGGCATTTCGGGACTAACATATGGTTTAATTTTATTTCAATAATTCGCTTGCGCGTAGGGGTCTTTAACAGTGGGAGGAAACCGGAGGACCCGGAGAAAACCCACGAGGTTGGACAGGCGACCCTACTCCTGACTTAATGACTAATGACAGGCCTTATGATACAGCGCGCACGTGCTAACCATTCGGCCATCCAACCCCCTAAAATGAAGGGAAGTAGTCGACGGTTTATATATAATCTAAATCGGCCTTAACGCCCTATACTTATTAGCATAGAGGCCTATAGCCAATTTCAATTTTTCTGAACTTAGAAGTTGTTGGCTTGAAATAAATATCCAACCAAACACTGTTCTACAACAGTCTTTTCAACATGAGACATTACACCCGCTTAGGTGTGAAAATTAATATGGAAGTGTAATCTATAAAGCTTGCTCACTAGCCTGGAGGTCGGGTGTTCGATCCCTGCATTGGCCGAGAAAGTTCATCCAGATTTTCCAGCGTGGTTTCCCCTTGTCAGTGATGCAGGACGGAGGGCCTGACAAGGAAAGCTGTCTAGTCCTTCGGTTGAGACGAAAAACCGAGAGAGAGAGAGAGAGAGAGAGAGAGAGAGAGAGAGAGAGGGTTTAACCTCCACTCGACACAAACTAGGTCATTTCGGGACTAACATGGTTTATTTTTTTTATTTAGCAGTGGGAGGAAACCGGAGGACCCGGAGAAAACACGAGGTTGGACAGGCGACCCTACTCCTTGCCACGTACAACCGGGGATTCGAAACCACGCCAGTTGACTCAATGACAGACTTTATGATACAGCGCGCACGAGCTAACCCTTTCCCCCCCCCCCCCAAAAAAAGCATTAATTACTCAGTCGCACGCAAGTTATGTCCCCTTAAGAGCACCACTATACTCTATTAAAATCTTACTTGTCATTACTTACTAGGAAAATGTTTGTCGAAATATTATACTATTCAAAAAAAGTAGGGGATATTTGATTTTGGGGGCATAATACTAAAATATGCAAATGACTACGAAAAAAGTCACTATAGAACCTAACAGAAGAAACATTTCCAGTTACATGTGACGCCCAAACGCACCAATAGCTACCGCATGGAATGCAGGTGATGCTTGGGATCATCATGGGGGTCCAACCCAAGATTTGCACGACTCTGACTTTGAATGTTACAGTCATTGTGGCATTGAATTCCAGGGTGGAAACATCAGTTTAATTGTTTTAGTGACCAGAAAACAAATTTTGATATGCGTCGGCTTACCCAAAATGAAAGGTTACGTGCCCTTGGCATGCGGTTGTGTCGCGGACGATGAATGTTTCTCAGTCTGTCATAAGCAGGCTATGGTCCAGATACCGTGATACACAATCTGTACAGGACAGACCACGCTCAGGTCGACCAAGGGCGACAACTCAAGCCCAGGATCGATTTATCCGTACCTTGGCCTTGAGAAATCGTGTCATCACAGCAAATCAGATCAGCGCTCGTCTTCAAACAGACACTGGTGTGAGAGTGAGTGGCCAGACGATTCGGAATCGACTGCATAGGGGTCACCTTCGCGCCCGACGTCCTCGTGTGATCCCTTGTTTGAGAGATCATCACATTCAGGCAAGACGTCGTTGGTGTAGGGATCGTCAACACTAAGATAATCGACGCTGGAGCAATGTGATGTTTTCAGATGAGTCAAGGTTCACTGTTGATTTTTTGGACAGACGTAGGAGGGTGTGGCGTCGTCGAAACGAGCGCTTCCAAGACGTTAACGTCATCAGACATGATCGATTTGGGGGTGGTTCTGTTATGGTGTGGGGAGGCATCACTGTTGCTGGAAGAACGGCTTTACATGTTGTTGCAGGGCGTGTTACAGGCCAGTACTACCGGGACAACATCTTGGCAGTCCATGTTGTGCCGTTCGCACGACGTCATGGCCGCCGTTTCATCTTCCAGGATGACAACGCAAGATGTCACAGGGCCAGGATCGTTACAGGTTACCTCCAACAACAGAACATCACCACATTACCTTGGCCAGCACTGAGTCCCGACCTCTCCCCCATCGAGCATGTCTGGGACATGCTTGGACAGAGGTTACGTCAACGTCAACAACGTCCTGCCAATGTCCAAGAACTTGCTGCTGCGTTGCAACAGGAATGGGACAATCTGGACCAAAATGACCTTAGACGTCTCATTAGGAGTATGCCACGTCGGATCAATGCTTGTTTGGCAAACAGAGGAGGATTTACCCGTTACTGACTTGGTTGTGATGCTGTGGTAACTTTGCTGTTTGACCCCGGGTATCATTTTACCCTTATAATGGTCAGTCTGTGCCTTACTTAGTCTAACGATCATTTGGAATAAATCGATGAATGTGAACTTCATTTCATTTTGTCATTTGTTTCTTCGTCAGTTTCATTAGGTGACTTTAATAACACTTAAAAATCAAATATCCCCTACTTTTTTTGAATAGTATATATTGTAAAAACACTCGGACCTGACGGTCCTCTTGTTGTTACAATATATATTACTTAATGTCTCGCTCTCGACCATTAAACAATACTTAAAATACAGATGTGACGTCACCCTTTGATGTTGGCGTACCATTATTTCAAATAATCGTACGGGCAACTTGCCAATAGTACTTTATTCATACTTTTTTTGAATAGTATATATTGTAAAA